GAAGAGAGAGTGGCACAATAGCTTCCAGGACATCAGGATTCATAGATTGTAAGGCTGGAAGGGACCTCAGAAGATCATCGGGTCCAGCCCCCTGCACCAAGCAGGAAAGATAACTGGGGGTCAGATGACCCCAGCAAGGTGACTGTCCAGTCTCCTCTTGAGGATTTCCAGGGTAGGTTATTGCACCATCTCTGGAGGGAGCTTATTCCACAATCTGGACACCCTGACTGGGAAGAAGTTTTTCCTAATGTTGAGCCTGAAACGGTCTTCCAGAAGTTTGTGGCTTACTCCTGTTTTCCCCAAGGGAGCCCTGGTGAACAGTTGTTCACTGAGCCCTTGATGTACTCCCCTGATATAGCGATAAGCTGCTACCAAGTCCCCTCTCAGCATTTTCTTTTCCAAGCTGAAGAGTCCCAGGTCCCTCAGCCCTTCCTCATATGGCTTGCCATGCAGGTCCCTGATTATACAGACGGGCCCTTCTCAGGACTCTCTCAAGATATGCCATGTCCTTGTTGAAGTGCGGTGCCCAGAACTGGACGCAGTCCTCCAGCTGTGGCCTCACCAATGCCGAGTGGAGCGGAAGAATCACTTCCTTGGTTTTGCTGGAGATGCATCAGTTGATGCATGCCAGGGTATTGTTAGCCCTGGTGGCTACAACATTGCACTGCCAGCTCATGTTCATACTGTGGTTTATTAATACCCCCAGGTCCCTTTTGTTCGTGGTGCTGGTCAGTTTGGCACTAAGCCTGTAGGTGTGTAGGGGACTGTTCATCCCCAGGTGGAGCACTTCACATTTCTCAATGTTGAACTTCATCTGGTTCTGACTTGCTCACCTTTCCAGCCTGTCTAAATCTGCCTGTATCTGTAGCCTATCTTTAAGCGTGACCATGCTTCCCCATAACTTGGTGTCATTGGCAAACTTGGCCAGCGAGCTCTTTACCCCCATACCCAAATCACTGATAAAGATATTGAAAAGTACTAGACCAAGCACCGACCCCTGTGGGACACTGCTGCCCACTTCTCGCCAGGACAACACAGATCCGTTCATTAGGACTCTCTGGGTCCTACCCCACAGCCAGCTTCCTACCCACCCGACTGTCTCGCAGTTATGCCCGCAATCCTTCAATTTTCTCGTAAGAACATTGTGGGACACCAGATCAAAGGCTTTCTGGAAATCAGGATCGGGCACTGGTCTTGCCAGTGACCTTGCACTTCTGTCGATAAAAGCTGAGGTGCTCCCTTTCATTATTAACTGCTGCAATCGTATCTATGACCAAACAAATCGAGTGCGACACTTCTGGGGAAGAAGGCAAGATGGTTGCCCTGGTAACAAGAGACAGAGGTACGATTCTGCATCCACTTCATCACTTTCGATTTTCTTTTTAAGTGCTGCAGCAGGGTCATTGAATTAAAGTTACAACACGCCGTTTACGAGCATTAAGCCCTTCCATAACACTGCAAAGCACAGAGGAGATGATGAGCGATCCACTGGGAACTGAGAGGAGGTCTCTGGCTCTCGGCAGCATCTCTGTGCTGTCATCTCCGAGGTGCTTACAACAAGGCAGTGGAAAAAAAAAAATCATGACTTGAACTATCAAGGCTGGTTGCTCCAAACAGCATGCAACTAGTTCTGGTTGGAGGGAGCAGGCTCCAAGACCTTTCATTATCACTCATGGGCCAGGCTGTAATCAGCTTGTAAACGAATAATTTGCCCCTGCATGGTGGGCTGGGAGAGTTTTAATTCATTCCATTTCAGCTGATCCTTAGTGCGACTGTGCAGCTGGCTCTGAAGGAGCTGCATGGACACAGAAGAGGCGGGGTAAGGCTAACATCTCTTGACCTAGAACTAAAATAATACCAAAAAATCTCCTTAATCACACATGTAATACTAGAGGATTTAGTTTTATGGATGAGGAGCAGCAGAGGAAGGCACCTGACAGAAGCCAAAGCACTGCAGGCAAGCTTTTTTCCCCCCCATCATCCAGAATCCATAGGGCTTGTCACGTCTCCTATTTCATGCTGGGGAGTGGAGCTCCTGTGCTATGCAGCAAGCAGCTCAAAAAAGAAGAGAAAAGAAAAACAACCAACAAAATCAAAGCCCTGGGAAAACCATGGGAAGCAACAGGCAATCCACAAGTAATAATAAAAGGACCTTGGACCCTGCCCCTTCCAACCAGAGCTAGTTGGGTGCTGCTTGGAAAAAAAATGAGCCATGGTAGCTCAATTTGCAGTTTTCAACTAGGGCACAGTGAGCATGCATTCACTTGGTGAGGCCTTTCTGACCTTCATTCGCTCTGGCATTCACTAGGCACTTTCATAGCATCACTGTCTGAGCACTGGGGAGCAAGTAATACCCCCATTTTATAGATGAGGGAAACAGAGTGCGGAGAGGGGACCTGCTGTCTGCATGGCCAGCGTAGAGGTGTCTGTACTACTGCAGGCAGTGCATATTTCTTTGAAGGCCTCAATGTTATAGAAAGAATAACCATAGGCTTCAGTCAGTGGTCAAGGCTCAGCCAGGTTATTAACTACAAAGCACCTACTCGCTAACGCTTGTGGCCAGTGGGCTGCAATGCGTCAGCCCTTAGGCTGTGGTAGGGTTCTGGCACAACTTGCACGTAGGGTTCCCCAGGCCAGCAGTTTTCTACCTTCTACAGGTCCCAGGAAGCAGAGAGTCTGCCCTGTATCCCTGCATCAAAACTGATCGTCTTCGTAGTGTCCCTGAGAATGGCTTTTCACCATCTGCTGGAGGACAACCCCCTGCTCGACTCTGCTTGCTCCGTTCAATTTTTACCTGAATAGTGCTCGTCTAAAATTGAGGCACAGCCCTTCCCATGTCATTCTTTAAGCAGTGCCAAGAGGACAGAAGCTGTTGGGTCCTTTGCTGCAAGGCAAGCTTCCCTCTGAGACAGCAATGGACAAACCCATCTATAGCCCAAGGATAGCCAGCAGCACTGCAGTGCTTGATGTAATTACTGGGATGCCACAGCAGGAGAATTGAGGCAGATACTAATAGGGGAGAAAAGCCTGTTAAGAGGCACTAGCTAAACTCACAGAGAACTAATGAGAGATTAATCCCTGGAAATGCTAGCCTACCCTATTTGCAGAAAGGGAGTCTCTACACCTCTCTCTCAGTACTGGGAGGACAGGAGCTGGCCCCTAGAAGAAGGGAAGCTTTGTCCTTGATGCATGAAAATTTGCAACTGCCCTTTGGGTCAGGCTCTATTTTTTTCCTGCTCTCCGACTATGTGCAGGGTGTCCGGAGAGACCTCTTCGTTTCCAGCCAGGAGACGCTGATGCAAAAATCTCAGTGCCACAGGGGAGGAGAAAGCATACAAAGCGCTGGATAACCACCTCAAGCACCTGGCAGCTTGCAATACACTGCAGCCCTGACTTCCCCATCTTTGAGGGGCCCCCTCGCAGCAGTTCCTGCAAAGCGGAGGTAGAGATGGTGGGGGAAGACTTTTGTGCCTCCAACATCTATTAGCCCATTTCACAGACTTAATTCCTGACATGCTTAGATGCAGCACTCTGATGCAGCACTAGCCTAGCTGGGCAGTAAGTCAAGCACCACCTTACTGAGGCTGTGGTGAACACGAGGGTTATTAGCTAGCAAGAAGGTACAATGGAAGGCTCCCAAGGTGGGCCAAGCAAAAACATTTGGCAGCAGTACTCAGCGGTGGAGAGGGGGAGGGTTCCAGAATCAGCCTCCACATAGGGCTATAAAGGCCAGGTAGCCAGAAGCTTAAATGCTGCATAAGCAGGAACTGCCTCCTCCACCCAGTGCCTTCTCCTCTGCTGAGGTTCCACCATTGCAAGCACGTACTCCATCTCTCTGCCTAGCCAGCCAGCCAGCACATGGAGGCCTTGGAAAGATGAGACAGTATGTCACTATTAAAAGGGTTAGGGTGGTAGTTTAACTAACCCAGCAGCTATATTTTTAAAAGGAGCCATCTTCAAAAGAGGGCAGAGCAAAGGTCTTGATCTTTGCTGGTATTGAAGCTGTACCTCCATGGGGTACCAGTGCAGTTAAACCGCCCTGGTTTTGATCCAGTGCTTATTCAGACACCTCCCATGCCATGATATTCACCAGGGATCCCAGAGCATGTGGGCTACAATTCTCTCTTCTGTGAAAATGCTACAAGGGGAAGCAGTGCTGTTCCTGCCTGCCGGCACTGGGAGCCAAGCATGCCCATTACCTTCCAGGACCTGAGCCTCGTTTTGACCCGATTCCCAAAAAAGCTTTCTGGGCAAGCTTGTGGGCAGGAGCTCTGCTGAGCAGCTGCAGTCCAGCAGGCAGCTCTGCATGTCCTCAGAAGCACTTCCTATTCAAACAGGAGATAAGCTAATGCAGCCTCCGCGCAGAAGCATCCTCATGATGCTTTTTGTTCTTGTACTTTTATCCGCCCAGGAAATCTCTGCTCAGAGGCAGCATGTTCAAACAGAGCCTTAAAAAACCTCCGAGATAACGGGGCCTTTTTTTCTTCCCTTTTGACAATGGCAGATGAAGGGTGAGGGTGCGGGGGAAGAGAGAGAAATACTCCCATTGCACTGGAACCTCATGGAGAGCAGATACCGAGGGTCACCTCTGCCATTAGACTGAGCATCCAGAAGGAGAAAGAACACACTAGTGACAATCCATCCTTTCATAGCCTCAGCTTCAAGATACCCCCACCTCACTCCCATACATTACCGGACCATCAATCTCATTATCCATAACCAGTCACGCTCAGAACACATTCCCAGCCCATTCATTATTTACCCGTTAGCAATTCAAATGCTCCAGCCGGATGCTTAAAAGAAAAGAAAAATAAATAAATAAAAGAGCCACCTAGATTTGCATGCAGGCTGCCCGAGTTCCAGCAGAGCTGGAGGAAGAAGAGCTAGCATTTTCCATGTGTCTGCTGTCAAAAGGAAAAACAAGTTCAGAGCAATAGTACAGGTACATTAGCATAAGGGGCAGAAAGAGAATGACTAATAGGAAGAAGCTGAACACTCACTTGTGCTGCCTTATCTGCTGTATTGAAAATCTCTTGGCTGGGTCATATTCAAGCATCCCTGAAAAAGGAGGAAAAAAATCCAGGTGTGATTCACAGGCACTCAACCAAGGTGGAGACAGGAAGCGCCAAGCCCTTCCCAGCCCCAGCCCCTCCATTACAGGAGACCCTCTGGCAGTAGGAACTCAAGGAGGCCTTCATCTCAAAATGAGCAGCTTGGATGAACCAAGTCAGAAAATTTAGGGTCAAACACCCCAGCTCTGCCACTAACCGGTGGAAAGACTCACACAAACCTGTTCCTCAGGTCTCCCCAACTGTTGAGTTGGGGAGATAAGTCTTTCCTTCTTTCACACCATCAACCAGCATTGGCTCGTAAACCCAAACACTCACCCCCATATCCCCAGCCAAAACACCAGGCGACATCTCATTTCACAGAGAATAGTATTCAGCCCATACCCCAGGGAGGCAAAGCTTTTTCTGTGGTGTATACACATCTGCACAGCACACCAGGAGCTGCAATCTAGGCACAGGCTTCCTTCCCTGAAGCGCATCTAGGGCAGAGTTATCTATAATGGCAGGCTGTTGAACACAGCCCTGTTCTCTTAGCTGGAATGCCTGTATTCACCTGTCAGCTACTGAAATATTGAAGGTTGGGGGGGGGGGGGGGGGGGGGGGGTGCATGTGTGTGGGGGTGCTTATCACCACTATTTTTTGCTTAGACTATCTAGTAGGGAAGGGAATGGCTCTCGCAAAGGCAGACCCCCCACGCCCTTATCCTCTGAAGACTAAACTACAAATTCCATCTCTTATTCTTAGGAAAGTACCATTGCTCAATAGAAGGAGAAACAGTGAGTTGATGTAAAACTGAAGAGGAACTAATGAATTCACTGTTTCAGCACCTACATCAGCAGCCTGCAAGAGAAAGGCACTCCTCAAGAAACCTTGCAGAAATGACAGATCTCCTGAACACAAGTGTGCTTGGTGCTGTACAGAGATTGGGACATAAGAAGATTACACTCAACCCCAAGATGCTCAAACTAGCATTTCAGGCACCCTATGGAGATGCAACTGATGCTACCCTGGGGCTTTTAGGAGGTGAAGGATTCTAAGCAGGTTTGTAAAAGTCCAAACAGCAGAGGCTAGAACTGACAAGCCTTGCAGTAGTGCATAGAGGAGGTAGGACTGGAGAGGGCATTGAATCCAAGCACTAAAAGGCTGAGAGGGAGAAGGGAGGGGGTAGGAGAACAGAGCAGAAGGGGTAAGGAGGGAATCTGCAGTAATATCAGATCACAACGTCCAAGAATCAAGACTAGGAGGAAATGGATGCAGAAGTCAAACGGGAATCAGTAGAGGGATAAAATAAGGGGAGAGGAAACATTTGTGGCAATTGCCTTTTGGAAGGAAAAAGAAGGCAAGAAAAGGATTGCCATGGCTGAGAAAGTGGGTTTCCTCAGTATGATTGGAAACACTGATGGACTTTTGAGAGAAGACAAAGGGAAAGAAACATGAGCAGAGAATGAGAAGATCCAGAATGATGTATTATTATAAGCCTGATTATCAGGAGGATATCAGCAGTCATGGGTATGGGACCTGTAATGACTTTCCCTTTCTTCATTATTAAAGTTTTGCAGGTAAAACTGCAGGAATGGTCCTCTACAATTATAGGGGTATAGGTTATATCTGTGTTGGTCTAAGGACATAGGCAGACAAGGTTCTTTGGGTAAATCTGATCTCTTTTATTAAACCAACTCAAATAGTTGGAAAAATTGGAGTTGGTCTAATAAAAGAGATTAGATTTACCCAAAGAACCTTGTCTGCCTTTACAATTATAGCCTTTCAGAGCCACAAGAAGGGAGCCAGCAAGAGTCTTGGCAATTGCAACATAGCCTCTGAAGAGGTCCAAGCTCTCAGCTCAACAGCACTGTGGATAGCTCTCAGCAGAAAGCCAGAAGCTGTCAAGCAGCACCAGGACGGTGACGGGTAAGGGTCGAGAGCAGAGAGAATTGAGGGAGCAGAGTAGCAGTGGGCTGAGAGCACCACTGAATGCAGGGGGGGCAGCCTGGAGGCCCCAGCCAGTGCTATGGTGGGGGAGTGGTAAAGGACATTTCAGGTACAACACAGAGCACGTGAGACTGTTGCAGCCCTGTGGAAAGGACATGAGTGAGTGTGACCAACTGCTACAGTCCAGGTGAAGAGCAGGGGACCAGCCTACAGAACTGCTGGGTCCAGAGGGACACAATAGCCTTCAGCTGTCACATGCCAGAGCAAGTCCCTTCACACACATGAAGTAACCCAGCACACAACTGCCGCAAAAAATCCCTTGCAAAAGAGATTTTCCAGCTACTTTAAGCCACAGAAAGCCTGACCAGGGAAGAGACGTTAAGGGATAAAGAATTCTGGCTCAGAACAGAGTCTGAAAGGCACTGACACCCTAGCAGCTCCTGCCAGCCCTACATATGCTAGCCTCTCAGTTCTCCAGAGGTGGGCAAGATGCATAGTGAAAACCTGCTCTACTGCCTCCCAGTCAGTTAACAGGATTTTAAACAATGTACTGATGGGTGGCCAATCCCATTATGGTTTTTGCTATGCCGAAGAAGGGCTCTCTGATCAAAAAGAGCACTGTACACAGAAAACAGGCAAAGGGTGGGTGGGCGGATGGGGGAACCTGGAATTACTTTCCCTTTGGAAATTGCAAGGTAGCTTGCTTACCAAGGTGATTTAAATAAGGCCTGGTGAGGCTGACAACAACACTCTGCTAATGGTAAGGGCAACGTGGGATGTCAGAGCCACTTTGCATTGTTAACAAGAGCTCGCTCCAAGAAGTCGAGGGAACCCCTGCAGCTAAAAGGTGCCTCTGTACCCGCTACCAATATCCGCATGCACAAATCAAAACAGCCAACGCCATGAGGGCTCAAGGGTTAAGACAAAGCAAACTAGGATTTTACGCTGGCTCTCCTGGGACTAGAAAGCCACAGAACCTGTGGCTCCCCTACAGTCACTAGGACTAACTACAGCTGGGAATGTGCCCTTGCCACCATTAAAGAGACCTCAAAGGTCAGTTCCTGTTGGACAGGGGCACATGCAAGAGGCTGGATGGAGTTGCTGGGAATATATTTCTGTCACCACAGGCTGAATCCATGCATACACATGCCCTAAAATCCACCTCCAAAGCACCACCTCATGGCAAAGGACTCTTGCCCCCTTCACTGAGGCATGAAGTTCCCAGTGACAGAGTCATTCCTGCCCCAGAAGAGAACAGCGATACGTCTCTCCCCTGCTCAGAAACAATTAACACAGCTGTCATGCTGCTCCAAGAACCCACAGGCTTGTTCCAGTCTTGATGTGCACCCCTCCTGCCCTGACCAGAGGCTCAATAGCCAGGTTTTGCTTTCCCCATAACCAATTAAAAGCCCCTTTGGGGTCTGAGCCAGTGGCACATGCTTGTTTCCTGTGGGCAAAGGAATGGCTTTTAACCAAGCCATCAAATTCTACATGTGCAAAAGGAGGTGGACAGAATTTAGGGGCCCAGAGCAATGAATCCCGAGTGAAGACAGGTGCTCAAGCCCCAAAGAAGAGCGAGATTTAAGACGCAGCCTCGGCTTCAGCTTTGCCTACTGGGCTCTGTGCTGGGCTGTTGAGATGCACGACTCTTCCCGTGCGTTGCATGTGAAGCCAGAACACCTACTGCAGGGCTGTGGGCTCCACTGTGGGCCAGGCTCCTAGAACACAAACACCGCAATACTGAACCTCACAATGCCCAAGGCCCTTTGAGGATCTAGCCCACAGCCGGTTACTGCATCTTAGTCATTGCTATTCCAGGAAGCAAGGAAGCTGGCAAACTGCTTTCCCCAATGGATGCCATGACACAGGGAAGGCTCAGCTACGACCAAATATTTTATCAGACTGATAGCGAATGCAGCCTTTAGGGGATTTTCTTCACCCCTGGGTTGCTTCCAGTGGGTATTTTCTCTTCTGTATTCCAACATGTGTACGTCAGAGCCCAGCAGCCTCCTCCCTCCCTATTTATCTTGCAGAAGAAATAATTGGAAGATAGGATGAGAAAGAGGTTCAAAGGAAAAAAAAAAATCCCACACCTAATTAAATATCCTATTAGTAAGATTATTAGACAGTCACTTCACAGCTGAGCTGCTCAAGCTGTTTTATTTTTAAAGAGACAGTACTGGAGCGGTGGGAGATGATTTTACACAAGGTCAATAGACATGGAAAGCTGATGCTGGTTGGGTTATTTTTAATGTTGTCAGAAATGAATAAATCGGGCAAGTCTCCCTCTAAAAATCAGAGGCTTTAAAAAAAAAAAAAAAAAAAAAAAAAAAAAAATCCTACTTCAGGAGGATGTCTCTGAAGCGTAGCCTGTCATCAATTCTAGCTGAATTTTCTGCCAACTGAAGCACACAAAACTGCACAGGCCAGCTCATCTTGGCTTTCCTAAACATGGCAGGTTTGTCTCAAAGCTGCTGCACTTTTTCAGAGTGTGTCTCCACCTGGAATATTTTGTTGGGGTGTTGCATAGGAGTTAAGGTACATTCCTCACTTGGTTGCTCTGACCCCCTCGGTTGAGGCTTACGCATCAAAAGGCAGCTTAAGAAATGGCAGTGCTTGCAAAGAAATTTACAGCAATTACTAGATAGAGCAGGTAGAGGCAGAGAATGGAGGTAACAAAAAAGGAAGCGTCTAAGGGAGGTTATAAAAAAGGGAATAATAGTACTGATTAGTAGTGACTATGGCGCAATGGAGACATGCATTGTTCTCAGATAAGGTACAGCAATTAAAGAAGCAATGAAGATAGCTAGAGCCAAAAAAGTCTTCAGTTTAAAGGCAAAGAACTGTTTCTGGGCAATTCTTGAAAGAAACAAGAAAATGTAATCGGTGTAAATGTAAGTCCATGGATTCAGTGGGATGAGTCACTTACAGCAGTTCTGTGGCTAGAGCCCTGTATTGAAAGAGAGACTTCATAAAGACAAAAACATCATGTACTATTCACCCGTCAAATCATCTAAGAGTGTCTGCCCACAATAACCACACATTCTCTACCATTTACGG